GAGGGCCATATGTGGTTGGTAGCAGCTATATGCACGTGTATCCATATGGACCCTTGACTTTGATGCAAAAAATGAGGAATTAACAACGACAATGGCGTGGATCCGGTAGCCGGGGATACCGGCCCACCTGTACCATAAAAAGATCTTTTGTGTCGGATTGTTGGCAAGGTATTTAAGATCGATCAACAATCCGCAGCCCTATCCCGAGGCATATACGCTAGGCTTAATGTAATGGTTGATCTAAAGAAACCACTTTGTGTGAATTTTGCCATCAACGAGAGAACCCAGAGGTTGGTTTACGAAAGTTTGCCAATTATTTGTTTCCAATGTGGGAGGGTTGGTCACTCGGGAAGCTCTTGCATTCACCAACCGCAACGATCAACCACATATGGCCCTCCAGTGAGAACCACATATGGCCCACAAGGGCACCCAACTCGACGTTAGTACGAGGTTAGCGAAGGATGGCGAAGGTTGCTCCGGTGCCATGGAGACGACGACGTGCGGCGGCGAGGAAAAACTATATGGTCCATGAATCCACGTCCCTCAGCGTACACGTCAGCCATACTCCACTTTGTCGCCATTGAAGACTTCGGCAACGATCAACGCTCTGGGATTGTCACTGGCGTGGAGATAGAACGATGACGTCGGATCGTCAAACGAATTACTAGATGAGGTTTTTTTAAGTCTTTTGAGTGGAAAAAATCGAGATTGAGGAAAATATAGATCGAAACGACATTCAGTGAAAAGTGATCCAAATTTGGAAATGAACCAGAGATTGATACCATATATATCAGAGTGAAACAATAAAAAAATAGAAAGAGTTTTAGGCAAGAGAAAAGAGGAGTAGTTTTAGCATTAGGATTGAATGAATTAATTATTTACAAAAGAATTACAAAAGTTTTTTTTTATACGTAACACTATGACAACTAAAATTGCTAAAGAGTAAAATACACAATAGAATAATACAGAATTGCTAATATTAAATGCATACAATATTGCTAGATATTAAATGCATTGTATATTTTCAATGTTCTGAAAGTCGGATCAATTGGTTCGACTGGGAACTGGCTATTACACCGGTCCAATTTGAGGAATAAAACTGCCTAAAAACCGTTACAACCGGCAAAAACTGGCAGAATCGTGAAAACTGGTGACGGTTAGTCCGGCCGACCGATCTAGTGTTCCATTTTGAAGAGAGGTTGTTGTAGAGTAAGTTAAATACCTGAATAGTTTTGGTTGTTTCTCAGATTTGGGATTCTTACAATACAGGTTAACTGAAATTATTGGGCCGCATTACCTTGTTGGGCCTTTGTAATCCGTCATTTATCTTTGGTCCTTATGGACATAAAACTTTGGCCTTACTAATATGCCATAGGAAACGTGGAGAACTCTTGTGAAGAAGTGAACTAACAAAATGATATTGTAACTTGTAAGTGTTAAATAAGTCTTTAAAAAAAAAAAGAAAAAAGAAAAAAGAACTAACTAAAATGCCTCATATGAATAGTTTAAAAAAATTGTTTTATGGTGACACAAATTTCTGTTTCATTATAATCACATTAATTTTTATGAAAACTATATTACTTATTAATATTTTAATATCGTAGTGTTAAAATAATTAGACTATGCAATATCGTGGTACTTATAAAAATGATAATTGTAAATATCATAATATAATCATTGAGAAAAAAGTTAAGCAACAAAATTCAAATCTAAATATTATTAAACTTCTTTATATACAACGTTCGTGGTTTTTCTATCATTACAATCTCCATCCCAAGAAATCATTATCTTCAGACCCCTCCGATTCGTGACTCTAGATAGTGCCACATACAACTGTCCATGACTGAATACATGATTTTTCAATAGTAAGCCGACGTGGGACAGTGACTGGCCTTGACTCTTGTTGATAGTCATAGCATATGAAACCATGTGCGGAAATTGTCTGTGCTGAAATTTGAACGATACCCTCAAATCGGATGGTATGATTGTGAGCCTAGGAATAAGAACCTTGTCACCAACTCTGGCGCTGGTTAAAATCCTGCATTCGAGGACATGGCTGCTGAGCTTAGTGATAACCAATCGTGTACCTGTTTAAATCAAAACTCAGAATACAAAAACATATCACTCAAATTTGTACAAAGATAAATGGAAATATAGATGATAGATTGAATTTTGATGAACAGTACCATTGCACAACCCCATGGAGTGATCAATATTTCTGAAAACCATCACTATAGTGCTAACCTAAAGGTGCAGTGTATGATTCAGAAGACCAGAGCACTTGATCCCATTGAGAAATTCAGGAGTGTGAAGATCCTGAAGAGAATCATATCCAGCATATGACTTGCACGGGGTATCCGAACTAAAATAAGTCCTTCCCTCGGATGAGTTTAGTGAGCTCATGTACTCGTTAACGGACTCAACCACATGAAGTGTGGGAGTGAGTATGGCTCTGTCCTTCAGATAGCTAAGATCGTCACCTGCACTCCTGAACATCGGGTAGGTACTCTCACCAATAGTACCAATAGGATCTCCTTGTGAGTGTAGAAGAATATCGTCAGGGATGTCGATATCGGCACAATCATCGTTCGATCCACTGAATGTACCACTGCCGATGTTTGCAAGCCACTCAGAGAAGCGCCTCAACTCATCGTACTCATCACCCCCAACAAGGCTTCGAAGACTCATATTCCGAGTCAGTCTCAGAACGATACAATCGCGCCACAGCTTGGATGAAATGATGGTTGCATTGACTATGTCGCTTCGACTGGCTTTATGGGCAACGGGGAGTAATTGTATGAAATCTCCACCTAACACAACACACTTTTCGCCAAATGGGAGATTTTTCCTCGATAGATCAACTGCTTCCATTAAGGCTCGCAAGGTGTTGTCAACCGCCTAGAAGAAATATTTGTTCATCATTGGGGCTTCATCCCAAATGATGAACCGACATCGTATGATCAGTTCGGCCAAAGGACTCTGCTAGCTAATATCACATGTTGAGCCTTCCATTGGGTTTAGTGGAATTCTGAATCATGAATGTGCATTGCGTCCGCTAGGCAACAAAAGTGATGCGATACCGCTCGATGCAACATTCAACGAAATTTCACCTTTGGATCTCAAAGCTGAAGACAACGCCCTCCAGGCATACATTTTGCCGGAGTCGACGTAACCATAAACGAAAAACATGCGGCCGTAGGTACGGTAAATAGAGTCCATTATCGACCCATAAACATTATGCTGATCATCAGTCATTTGGCAACCAACTCTTGATTCTCAATAGCGAATGCACGACGATTGTAATTCAACTCGTCCATCACCAGTCTGTTCGTGGATGCCTCATTACGATCGAGATTAGGAAAATGCATTGTACTGTATTCGCGTAAACTCGTACCACGTCTGCGCAAAATCTTTTCAACCTCCGTTAATGCCAAATTATTTACTTCATCATCGCACAACACTAATTCTATAACAACAATATAGAATGTTTATAAATATTAAATCATAAGAGAAAAACAACAAAAAAACGTAGGTATGTGACTGTAATTGATTCGTTTACCTGTGTGCTGTAAAATCCTTTGTCGATTATATAATATATCATCCGATAGGTAAGGCCAACATGATTCCCACACGAACTCCGCGTGACCGAGAGTATCAGAAGACAACAAAGTAGCAAAAATGTTTCTCAATGAATTAGCACTCGACCACTGGCTT